AAAAAAAAAAAAAAAAAAAAAAGAGGAAAAGAGGCAGTTCGACGATCGACTCATCCAAGTGCCTTTCCCTCTTTTTTTTTTATCGGGGAAAACGATATTCAAAAGACTTATTTGTACAAGTACGCATGGAAACGTTAAGAAACTCATGTATTTTATGTCTATTAAATTTTGATTCTCATATCGAGGAGAACAATATTCTTTGGTAATTCAATTAGACAATTGCCGGAACATAAGATATCGTCTTTCTGAAAAACGAGTAGAGAGCGTTACACGCTCAGTCGCGAGCTGTCGGCGAGGGCTTTCTCCAGGCGCATAAACTCTTTGGTTTCGTACGAATACGACATGCAATCTATCGAGGAATCCCAAACACCGTCACATCGTTCCTCTCCAGGTTCGTTCATCTCGTCGTTATCCGAGACAACGACGGAGCTAACTTCGGAGATCGTGTAGGTATCATCGAGGGAAACGTGCTTTTTCGAGAAATTCGCTGCCGTATTTTCATCGATAGTATCGCAGGTTTCCAAGTGACGTAACGGTTCGTCGACAGGACTTTTCGAGGCGGGCGCGACAGGCTCGACGACCTCGTGCAAAGCATCGTCCAGCTCCTCGCTTATAGGAGTCAAACAACTCAGTTTCTCCCTTATCGATTCCTCCTCCTCGCGGCAGTAGGAGCACCGTTCGCACGGCCACGTTTCCATCTCTGACTTTACCACGGCCGCGCGTTCGCCGCCTTTGAATTTATCGATCTCGATAACGTGATCATCGCCGATAGAGTTTTCACCGAACAAACGAAAACGACTACCCGGCGACATGCTCGCATATTCATTCGTCGAGACTTCGACGACGCGAAAATTTAATTCTAAAGCGCCATTGTCGATAGTGATAATCGGCAATTTCTTCGCTACGGTACAAAACTCGATCACAGCCGGAGATTCGCCAACTTCCGTCTCGTGTGTCTCCATTTCACAATTCTGATTATCGCAATCGTCAAAGTCCGACGACGCATTCCCCAAAAAGCCCTTGATCCGACAAGTATTATCAACGTCATTGCTCGCCGGGAAGACATTCGACGTGCATGCTCGACCGGCAGACTCCATGAGCGAGCATTCGCGACGATAGCCGTTGATCAAGTTGCGTACCATTTCTCTTACAATGCCAAGGTCGTAAATAGAGGAATCTAAATGCAGCAGAATGTAAATGGACTCAATAATCTCGGCAATGATCTGCCGTGCGATCTCCACAGCTTCGCACGACAACGGCGACATTTCGTCGGACGCGTTGAGATCGGCGATGATCTCGTTGGCGGACTCATTGATCCCGTTGAGAAAGACCTCGCCGTCGATGTCCTTTAATTCGCGGATCGTGCAGCTCGGTAATTCAAGGATATCGGAACCGCTGGCCGAGTGCCTCTCGGACACGGGCTGTTCTAACTCTGCGTAGCTACTGTCGCTCGACGACCTGCGATCTCGCGTGGACTTGGCGCAGTCCGCCTTCGTCGTCGGCTCTATCCATATGTAATCGCTCAACGGGTCGTCGTTGTCGCTTCTCGTCGAATCAGAGTGCCACTCTGAGGAGTGCTCCGCCAAGTCGCGCGAAGTATCGTCGTTGCCGCTCTCGTCCTGGTCAACAGCCGCCGGCGGTGTCAAGCTGTAAATAAGGCTCATATTCGTCGAGTCCAGATTATATTTGACGCAGGTATCCGTGTCGGGCAACGCGTCCAATTCCGTTCTCGACGAGGCGATGTTCAGGTCGATGCTCTCTACAATTTTCGCGATATCGTTGCAATACTCATCGTACGAATTATCATCAACTTCCGCGCTGTTCGGCCAGCCGCTCTCGCACATGGAGTTCTCGATCCAAGATTGAACGTTTCGTTTCTTCAGCTCTACCGTCGAGTTCAACCGTTCGCCGTTTATTTCCTTATCAACAGCCGCCGACGTCTCTGTATGTTCGCCGCATTCATAACGATCGATGATATGCCCGTCGCAAACGAGATTGTTGGAAGATAGATCACTCGGCGGCCGCGAGTCTTTCCCGTTATCGCTGCAGTTATCACGCTGAAATGCTTCAGCGCAGCTGCGCGCAAGTGTCACTTCCGTATTCGTCGTCGTCGTCGACGTCATCGTTGTGTGCTGTTGTTGCTCGTTATTCGTGCCGACCGTCGAGTTATCTCCATGAGTTATTGAAGGCTCCACTTTTACGGAAACAACCGTCTCGATCGTTGAACATTCAGCCCTTTCACGGTGTCCTATTTCCTCCTCTGTCTGATTGTGACCGTTCACGCAGGACACGATATTACGCGTAATCATCAGTCTTGCCTCCTCCACGTTGACACGTTTGACGAAGCACGGTTGCGCGATATTTGCCCATACCACAGAATGCACCGCGACGTTGTTGCCTGTCGACCGCGTCTCGTCGTTCAAACTTTCGACGTGTTCTTTCGTACTCGCGTTTGTCAGAGACACATCGAACAATTTTACAAGATGAGCACGCGGTTTCTCACTCGGATTCACCGTGGAGTTTCGTTCAAATATTGACTCGTTCTTATTCGCGCTCATTACTTTTGCTTTTGACAGCGTGACCGAGTTCGCTTCTAAACTCTTCCGACGTTCAAGATCTTGGAAAAATTTCCGTCTCGCCTCGTAGCGCGACTCTACGAAAGCCTCGTCCCGCGAGATCGCGTTCGACTCGATTTGGCTTAGCCCGTTAATGCACGCCGTTCTCGCACGTGTGATTAGAAGGGGTTTCTTTCGTTCAGCGATCGTGGAGGCCCTAACGTTCTCCAAACGGGGACTATCGTAAGAATGCTTGGAGACCCGCCGGCCGTAGTACGTTCGCGCACGCTCACTGCTTACGCTGCTGCAATTGCTGGCTAGTTCGTAATCTGCAAGTATTACGTCCAAATGTATAGGTATCTCGAGCAGGAGAATCGGCGAACGATCGATCGGTTTGCTCGCTTTGGAGAAACGGAGAGAACGTTCACGATCACTTGGATACTTTCCGCGAGTCTTCTTCGTTGCTTACGCTGCGCGCTAAGTATTACAAGTAGCGGTAGCCGAAGAAGCTCTACGTCTGTCCTCTGGCTATGCGTCTCTTTACTTTTATGCTAAAAATGTACTGTTTTATTTGTCCATCTACCACGTGGCTATTACTCACTGCAATTCGCGTTATAATGCAAAAGATCAGCTATCTTGAATTTGCGTTAATCGATTATCCATCATCATTCGTTAATTCTATGTTTAGAAAAAAAATCACAAAGTGTAATTTCCATACTTTGGATTGAATTGAATATAAATACGTAAGTTTCGCAAGAGCTCTGTAGCGTTCCAGGAAAAAAGAGGAAATAAAAATTAACAAAAGTGCACAAACATCAATTATCAGTGCAAGCATTTTTGATCGTTATTTCGAGTGGTGACAGGAGACAAAGAAAGCGTTCGAGACACATGCCATTATATGTAAGCAAAAGCACAAACGTGATGACTTTGCATACATATCAGTGACAATATGAAAATAAATACATTTATTCAGTCTTGAATGCATATACGTGCGTTTTTTATAGTTATTGCGGATGGGGAGTGTATTCCATACCGAAAGAGATGCAGCTTATACCAGATGAAATATATCTTACCATATATTTAACCAAACAAGATTAATTCGCATAAAATCTATATACAAAGTTAAACTGAAGCTAGTGTATCCTCTATATCGCAATTTGTACTCTAAATTTGTGAGTGAATAAACTAAATTTGTAAACCCTTTTTTTTCTCTTGGAATTATTTATTTTTCATGAATTGAAAAATTGCATGCAATTTCGTTAATTTATTTTATAAATATAACGACAGATACGTTTTCTTCAGTCAAACATCGTAAATGTACCGGGAAAAAAAAAAAAAAAAAAAAAAAAGAGTAATTCGGAATTATGGATTAGACCCATTCCCATTTGTCCGCATATGAATAAAACTCACCTCCTTTGTAACCGCTTTGTCGCTCAGTCATTCTGTAGCGCATCTCATTAAGGTACTCTGCAGTAGCATCATTCACTGTATATAAAAAATAAATACGTATACGATTCACACCTGTTCTACAGTAAAATGCTCCTCGATCCGATGTCTTTTACGTGTCGTTCGACAATGCTATATGTACATAGTACCCTTGACAGTCAAAATACCATATATCGATGTATTCGTCTCACACTAGGCTTTTACCATTCTAATAACAAATAAACACCGACTCGTGCAAAATTATATATCTTCGAGCGCGATTGTAACGTGCTGTATTCTAGTGATTAGTATTGAAATTGTTGCGAAGGCAGAGAGATGGAAATGTCACACGGAATGCCCGTAAACAGAAAGCTATGGCCATGCAAGAATCGGAGTTGAATTGAAGCAAACGTCTCAATTGTAACTTAACCACTCGTTAAAAGATCTATGGCAGGCTAATCTATCGCTTACTTTGTTATTAAAAAAAAAAAGAAAA